ACAAAATGACATTATTAATAATTTAGCAATAAAAAAGTTAAGTACAATGATGACATTAAAAGTTGAGTTTCTCGAAATACTTTTTTTAAATTGTCTCAGTAACTACCTAGTATTTTTTTAGCACAATGATATTATACGAATGTGCATTGTGTGATATCTTATATTTTAGGAATAAAATTATATATTTTTTGCAGGTTTCTGTTAACAACGATTCCAAGAACTTTTGAAAATATTATTAAAACGGCATTTGCAAATATAATTCTCAATTAAGAGCTTTTGATCTAACATTAAATTTTTATTCTCCATAAGGTTATAGCTTCCTAAGAAGAAAGTTTAACAAGACTTACCAGACTCAAAATATCAAAATTTTACCAACCAATTGATGGTTCTACTGGTTTCCATAGGAAAATTCTCCTCGAAACTACTAAAAGAAAAGTGGCAGAGGCAACCGAAGAAGGCAAAAAAGTCTTTTGCAAAATAAAAACTAGAAATTTGTTTAAGAATCTAGTTATTGTTTGAAGTTTTACCAATGATAATTTTTGATAACGATTTAAGATTATGAAGTTCTATTATGAATTTTACTCTTTGATAACCTATGTTTAAATTTTTATTAGGACCAAAATAAATTATAATTTTCATTTCAACTACAAAAACGCTCATAATATTAAAAAGGGAAAAAACGTTAGATTAGTTATGTTCAGGAATAAACTCTTTAAACATTTATCTACCTAAAATGTGTTACTTTTAGAAGGTATGTTATTAACTTTCTATTTGTACTTGTATTAATTCATTTCATTTTATTATCTGTTGTATTTTCAAATTGATTTTGATATTAATCTTATCTATTTATATATTTTTTATACTCACATATATGTTTTTTTCATTGAAACAAACGTTTATTAGCTTATTAAATATAATGAATTCATGTTGTTTTATTATATGCTTGTATGAATGATTACTTTTATTTCCTTTTAAAAATGAATTTCGAAAATAAAGCCGAAACGGTGAGTGAAAATAAAAATTAGACGAAAGTGACGATATTTACTGGAGCTTTCATCTACACGCTCCTTTTTCTAGCCATCTACACCTGAGCCAGCAAGATTCGTCTTCCCTCCATCCTTACATTCTCCAGATTTACAGAGAAAACGCCGTCCTCTTTAACATATCCAGACCTTCTTTGACAGGGACTATACCACTACATTATCAGCTTTATTTGTTATCCCGAGCAATTTAAATGCATTCGTAATTGCTCATTCTCATCTCTTCTCTTGTAGATTCCGTACTCAGTTTTCTTATTTTTAGTTACGTTTGCACTGCTCTTTTATTTCCACAGCTTTAATTCTATAATGCTGTAACGCTACAATGGGTGCTATGATTGAACGTTTACGTTATCCGTAACGTACATGTTAGGCTCAGTTTTAACAGTAATTAGGCAAGTTCGTATGATGAAAAACGGTTTCCAACACATTACTGTTATTTTCCTTCTGTTATGTTCTAATTTAACAGTTTTCCATCATACAAACTTGCTTCGTTACTGTTAAAATTCGACCTAACATGTACGTTATGGATAACATAAACGTTCAATCATAGGACCCAATATGGATCCATTTATGTGGTTTATATTATTTAGTTATTCGTAAGTGACCAACCTATTATAATAATTAAAGATTATTGTATTACAGGCCTGAAGATGTTCCTGTAAGGCCGAAACTAGTCGCTCCTGTATTTATAATAAAATTGATTTTAAGGTTTTATTCTTCAATTGAAAAAATTAGACCTTTACAGTGATTTTGTTTCTTTTCCTGCATTAGACACACATAAGACGGTATTCATTTTAAAAATAGTAAAATTAGCAAAATTTTTAGTTTTTTTTTGCAATTAAAACGTTTGGACAATGTGTGTTTTTATAGATAAATGATACGCCACTGAACAAGAAGGATGTTTACCTTCCCCCTTATGCCCGCTTCCTCACTTCCTCTACAGATGTTGCTAACACAACATTCGCCTACAAACTCGTTTCCACGCTCCCTCTATTAGTAATTGCTCGGAGATTTTTCTAACCAGGTTAACCAGGGTGATATACGGAACACACGGCAAGATTCTGCATCTGGCATCTGACAAGTGACAGTGACAAGATTATGGCTAAGTTCGGTTTGGCGTTCGCTGGGGTGCGTTCAGAAATGGAGAGCGTCAAATTTTTAATCGTCCAGACAAAATTTGCCGGAACGTTTATTTTTGTCCGATAAATATGAACGGTAAGTGCAAAGTATTGTCAAATCAAGTTTTTGGTTGTCTTTTCTGTTATCTGAGATTGTAAGGAATTATCAAAAATTAGTAAGTATGTAACACCATTGACGTCCACATACGACTTTTTTATGTAAAAATTCAATTCATTACCTTTAATCCTGTGTCATAAAATTTTATCGTTTTCTATAATGAAATTACCATTGTTTCCGACAACTAGACGATCATTGATGGAATTAATTCTCTCACTCATACTCGTATTTAAA